GCACGCCCTGTCCTGAGCCTCCAAAAATAGATCTGATGCACTCCAGCTATAGTACTTTATACCACTTATTTTTATTTATTTCTGGTTTCAAGTCTCAATTGGACTCTCAACTTGGCTGGTGCCATGTACCGGTGGGGTTTAAAGAAGCCAAAAATAAGCCCATCTCTCTGACAAGCATGCTGCAGAAAACCACCGACAGCACAACTGATGCAAGCTCTGGCAACAGAGCCAACAACAACAACAACAACAAACAAAAAATGCGCGATCAGAGGTAACCAAGTCGTCAATTATTATCACTCCATAATAACATTCGAAAAGCAGCCGAGATCTGTTTGAAACAATTAAAACAGTGACTCAAGTACCTGACAACCACCGATCCGCCTTGCTCCACTGCATGACATTCTAAATGCATCTGGAGCTGGCGGTTGTCCAAATACATTTAAATTCTAAACGTTTGGTCAGTCGGAATGTATCTGAGCGACTTGCTGTCCCACATACATGTCAAACGTTGACCAGTGCGGCGAAGCCCGCCCAATGTCATCGGCATCTACAACACACAATCTGTTTGATGATTTTTTTATCACAGAATATGCTACCCGCAGGCTGCAGACAACTCCAAATCTTGCCAGCATCGTCCGCACAGCATGGGAATCAACCCGAAAGAAAAAACGGCACAGCATATAAATCCAACCAGCCAAGAGTTGGATTCACATGTTGCGTGGATTTTTATTTTTTTACGGATGTTTGGTAAAAAAACCTGCAAACATCGCTGCACACCAACATGCAAAACCACGACTGGACCATCCCCCTACATCAACAATATCGGCAGAATCACGCGGACAAGCGGCAATGATGCATATGCAGGTGCTTGGGCAAATCCCCTTGCATTAAATCTCTCTCTCTCTCTCTCTCTCTCTCCCCCTGCAGACCAGGTCAGTTACGAGGCTAAAACGTGTGCCAGTCATTCCTGGACAGGGCTATTAAGAGCAGACCGGGATTTACTTGGAGAAAAACACACATGAGGAAATAAAAGGAGCAAAAAAAAAAAGAAAAAAAAAAGTACAGATTATATAAAACAGCACTTCCCATGTACTGGGAACTGAAACACATACCCATTCATCAGAATCCTCCACTTGTGCCTCCCACGGTAGATGTTTTTGTCGACCTTTCACAACAGTCTGATTTACCATTTCTCTTTCCCACCAGTCTCTACTATTCCTGTTTCTCATTGCCACATCCCATTTTCCCCTTTCATCTCATGGGAAATCTGGGCCCTAAAGGGGCTTTGTATTTGACCATCCACTGACCAAAAATGAGAGGATACCCACAAAAAAGTCGAAAAAAAACAACAGCTAAACTCACTCCTCCCTGATCGCTTTAGTAGAACATATATACTGAACAGGAGTCGGAACAGAAGAAAGTTTCTGAAACTATAAAGGGGAATGAGTACTCAAAACAATAAAGCAAACTGGATGCTGTGAAATATCAAGCAGTGAGAAAGCATCATCAACTAATAGGGGTAGCTGAAACCAAATACCTCCCTCCTCGAGCCATACCCCACCCCGGAACCCGGGAACTTTTGATTTCTCACAAGGTGCTGGCAGAGTCATCCCATACACATCCGTCAATCCCTAGTCAGCATCCTTGTGTGTGCGCATGTGTGCGTGTGTACGTGTGTGTGCATCCG